GGTGCGGGATGCACAGGGCGCCGCTACCTACGCCGTAGTCAGCTCGCCCGCGGGCAACCTGAGCCTGACCCTGCTAGAGCGCGCGGACTACCGCGGGCCCTTCCTGCCCGGCTTCGAACCGGTGTCCTCCGTGCCGGGCCCCGGCTGGGTCAGCCATGTGGACCACTTGACCTTGGCCTGCAACCCAGGCAGCTCCTCCACTCTCATGCGCTGGTTCCAAGACTGCCTGGGCTTTCGTCATTTGCCGCTGAGCCCAGGTGAGGATCCGGAGCTGGGCCTCGAGGTGGCGGTAGGGCCGGGGCGCGGGGGACTGAGACTTACAGCCCTGCGTTCCTGCCCGGAGGGCGTTGTCCCCACCCTCGTGCTGGCCGAATCCCTTCCTGGGGCCACCAGCGGGCCGGATCAGGTGGAGCAGTTCCTGGTCCGACACAGGGGGCCGGGCCTGCAGCACGTGGGGCTGTACACACCGAACATCGTGGAGGCCGCCGAGGGCGTGGCAGTCGCCGGGGGCCAGCTTCTGACTCCTCCCGAGGCATACTACCAGCAGCCAGGCAGAGACCGGCAAATCCTGGCTGCAGGGCAGGAGCCCAGTCTCCTGGCCCGACGGGGAATCCTGCTAGATGGCGACAAAGACAAATTTCTGCTTCAGATTTTCACCAAGTCCCTCTTTGCTGAAGACACCTTCTTCCTGGAGCTGATCCAGAGGCAGGGGGCCACAGGCTTTGGCCAGGGCAACATCAGGGCCCTGTGGCAGTCTGTGCAGGAGCAAGGTGCTGGTGGCCCGGAAGCCTGAGGAGGGCCAGAGCTAGTGTAGCCCAGGGGCCAGGTGTGGCCCATCTCCTCAGTACCTGCCAGAAGTTGAGTCTCATTGGGTTCTGCTGTAGTTTGGGTGTCCCCCAAATTCACATCGGGACTTAATTGTACTGTAAAGGTATCAAGTGAAAGCTTCATCCCTTCATTGTGTCCCTCAGTGACCAAGGCCTTCGGGTGTGATGAGGACATTAGTGCAGGACCCCTATGACTGCTGGGTTTATAAGCTGGGAAAGGAGCCCAGAACAGGCCGAAAACCTGGGGACAGCCACTCTGCTCCAGATGCTGCTCTCTGCCATGTTGTAGCTTGGCCAGATGCTGGCCCCTTTGACCTCCAAACTGAACTGAATAAACCTCTTCTCACGAATCACTCAGTTTTAGTTATTTCTGCTCGAGACACAATAGGAGGCTAAGACAAGCTCTAAAGAAGTTTTTTTGTTGTTTGGTTTTGCTATAGGGCACGTTCCCTCGCCAGGGAGACAGAGAGAGACAAAGAGACAGAAAGTGGGGAATCATCGTAGTGGGGATGGCCACACTACAATTCCTTCTCCCTTCTCTTAGGATCTTGGGCATGCATGCTTGCGTTTGAAGCCACTGGGTCCAGGGCTCGAACTGCAATCAACTACGTGGGACTCCAGTGACGTTACCATTATGCCATATGCTGGTCCTAGAAGTGAGATTTTTAAGCTAGAAAGCATTTAACTACAAAACATCTCTTATGGGATCAGCAGGTGGCGTGGTAGTTAAGGACATTGGACTCCCACATGGGCTATTGCAGTTCGAATCCCAGACCTGGCAGCTTGTTTTCTCACTTTCTCTCTCTTTCTCCTCTCTCTCTCTCCCTCTCCCCCCTCTGGTCAAATTTAAATAAGTAGATAAATAAAAGTTAAAATAATTATTTTTAAAAAATCTCTTACATAGTATATATCTAATACATATGCAAGAGATAAGGATAGGTGAATCATCACACAATTAGAAAATAGTGTGATTTAGAAAATACAGTCAATACTTGGGGACCAGCAGTTAGCGTAATGGCTACGTCACTGGACTCCCATATAGTCGACCATGGTTCAAGTCCTGGATCTGGTGGCTTAAACTCACGCTGGTGTGTGTGCATGCATGCCCAAGATCCTGAGGGGAAAATGGAGAAGGGATTTTGGTGTGTCCATCCCCCCCTGGAGGGTGATTCTCGCTTTCTGTCTCTCTGTCTCTGTCTTTCTGGCGAGTGCACGTGCTCTGTAACAAAAACCTCTCCAAAAAAGAAAAAAACACAACCAATACTTCCAAAGCCTCCTTGTCTCTCTGATCCTTTCTTCCTACCACCCTTTCCCCCCAATTTTGTGATCAACCCTTGGCCTTTTTGTATTCGTTCCTACATATGTAATGTATCCCTGAACAACCGATTTAGTATCTGAGGGAGGAATTTAAAGCATTAAGTCCTCTGTGCAACCCAGAAAGCAACCGCTGCAGGTGGGGTGGGGCTGGGTCAGAACTGAGCTGAACCACCTGCTCCAGGGTGATGCCACTGCTCCAATCAGAGCTGCCCTGAGACCTACACTGAGAGTGTTGGGTGTCAGCTGCTGGCAGGTGCTCCTTGCAGCTGCCTTTGCCCGCTTTCCTGGGGGCTGAGGAAGGAAAGATCACTCTGGACAGGAGTCTTGCCCTCCATCTGCCCAAAGCTGCCTGGGAACTCAGCCAGAAGTCAGGGACAAGAAGGACTTCACTCTCTGGTGAAGAGCGGGGCAGGGGGGGAGGAGGCAGAAGGCAGAAAACTCTCCAAACTGACTACAAAAATAAGCACTTTATTGAACAATAGGACTCTTGGGGTAGAGGCTTCCAGAGGCATCGCTGGGCTGCACTACTGAGGTTGGGTGCATCAGGGTGGGGTGAGAGGCCGAAAGAAACTATCCAGAACTTGCTGGCCTGGGCTGGGCTTTTTCCGGTTGGATGGAGTGGACAGGTGAGACCTTTTAGAACCCTGTGCAGAAGCCGAAGGCGGGAGGCACTGAGGAGGAAGAGGAGGCAGGGAATCCTCTTCCGCCCCTTTTCCCACCACACTGATCTAGCCAGGTTCTAGCCTGGAAAGTTCATGAGCTTTCAACCTGCCTCCAGCAGCGTCCCTTTGATCAACTTTCCAAGGGCAGCCAAAGGGACTCTTCCTAAAATACAAATCTGTCTTCCACCTGCCATGCTTCAGCGCCTGGCGTTCACACCAACCGATCTGGACAGCTGGCCCTGCAGACCTCTCCAGGTACTCATCCTCTCCCAGCTCCTACAGCACTGAAGATGGGACTGCCAATCCCTTTGGCTCACACTTGGGCCTGGACAGAACATTCTTATGGCTGATTCTCCCAAACCTGGAGCAAACGACTCACTGCTGCTAGGACTCAGGTTACCAGCTGCTTCCTCCAAGCAGCCTTTCCTGACCCTTCCCTCCCAGATAGAAATAATGGCCCCACCTCATATCCCCCGATGCCAGTACCAACGTTTCACACAGCCATGACACTACTGCCCTCAACAATTTGCTCTTGTCCCTCTACTCCACGCCCTAGAATATAAGGTCCCCAGGTCAAGAACTATTCTTCTCAGGCTGGTGGCATGGTGGTTGGGATGCTGGACTCCCACATGGCTACCTGTGGTTCAAGTCCCGGGCCTGTCAGCTTGCTTTCTCATTTTCCCTTTCTTTATCTCTCTGTCCCTCTCAGGTCAAATTAAAATAATAACAACAAATGGAATTAAATAAATAATTCTAAAAAAAAAATTCCTCTCCGTTTTCAGTGAAGGCTGGAGAAGAGACTGTTCACTCGGACATGGGTCAGATAACTAACTCAAACACATGACTTCAGGCCTGGAGAGAGATGGCTGGGTGAGGGTCAAGACTCACCTTGCAGGTCCCTGGCTGTTGGCCTTCATATAGGCGGAACACCTAGCCAAGAGAGGGGGAGGTATAGGGCTGGCACCTTCTCCCAAAGACACAAACCCTGTGTTTTGCCCTTGACTTCACGCCCCATAGCTGTTTATAAACTATGTGTTAGGGGCCAGCCAGCGGGTGGTTAAAGCAACTAGATCCCACATGGCTGACTACATGGTTAGAGTCCTGGGATCAGGCAGCTTGAAAAACACACTGGGTGTGTGTGGATACATGCCCAAAATCCTGAAAGGAGGGAGAAATGAGGACAGAGGATTGCAGCATGACCATCCCCCATGGGGAGGGGGTGCACTTTCTCTGTCTCTCTCTGGCAAAAAAAAAAAAAAAAGCCTTTGTTCTGTTTATACAGTAATAAATCCATGTAGAACATGTAGGAAACAAAAAAGTACATCAAAGACAACAGAACTAGTGCCTTTTTCATGGCGGTGGAGACGGCTGCAGCATGAAACTCCTCCCGGGTCAGCCAGCGAGCACCAGGGGATGCAGTGGTCACCGGAGTCTGTCCTTCCAGGGCCAGAGCATACACGTGGTAAGTCAGCTTGATGTGAGAGAAGGTATGGACCACCTGGGGGAGGGTCAAAGGGCTGAAACAGACCTGTGGGTGTGGACACACACGCATGCGTGCGCGAATACACACCACCATTCCTGCATTCTCCACTGCTCACTCACCTCCCCAAGGTGCCTGAGGCGGGAGGCTGGGAGGGGCCCGGCCCAGCTCTGGAGTTCCTGCAGCAGGGCCTTGTGCTGATGCTGTCCTGAGGGCTCCAAGGCCACAGATGGGAACTCCCACAGTCCTGCCAGCAGTCCTGACAGGGAGGCAGCCAAGGGTGGCTGAGGCCTTAGCTACTGACTCCTCCCTTCCTCCCCTGAGTCTTCAGCCTTTGCCCTCTGCTCCAGGATCCAGGCAGGTACCTGAGTTAGGCCTCTGCACCAGCAGAATTCGGGCACCCCCGAGGGCCCTGGGCTGCTCCAGAACACATGTGGCACAGTACTCCTCCCTGGGGGGCTTGCGGCTGGCCTTTCGGGGAAAGTTGGTCACTCCCAGGGTCCTGTCCCAGGGATCTGTGGGAGGCGGGCACAGCTGGCACTGTTCAGCACCAGGAGCTGGGAAGAGAGATCCCCAAGCCTCACTTAGGTCAGGAGAACTTAGGTGCCAAGCCCAGAGAGCAAACCTTGGCCTGGCTCTGCAGAATCTTACTGAGGTTACAGGAAGAAGTAGAATGAGGCTCCCACAGGCAGCTCCCAGACAGGGCCAGGAAGGGCTGGGGCAGGGACTGGGGACACACGCACCACACTCCTCCACATCAGGACTGGCTGGCTGGCTCCGTGAGACCGAGTGCTGCTCTCGCTCCACCTGAGAGGCACGGATGGGTTGTCAGGATCAGGGTCACTCTCTAGGACCCCTGAGTACTCCTTGCGTGCAGGCTCACCCGTTGGTGTGCCCGGCACAGGCTCTGCACAGGGCACTGGAGGCAGGCTGGGCGCTGCACGGTGCACACCGTGGCCCCCAGTTCCATGGCTGCTTGGTTGAAGTCCCCTGGCCGAGCTGGGTCCACCAACTGCTGGGCTAGGCTCCTTCAAGAAAGGAACATCTCTGAGCCAAACAGCCTTTGGAGATACTGCACCTAACCCACACTCTCCCTAATTAGCCCAGTAGCCTACCAGAGCTGCTGGGAGACAGCGGTGCTGCTGGGATCGGCACCAATGGCTCGGACACGGCACAGCACTCGCACTACGTTCCCATCCACCACTCCAGCTGCCTGGCACAGAGGAGCCCCGGAGTCAGCTCGGGCCATGAGGGAGGAGAGTGGGCACTTGCGAAGTGGGGTGGTGGTGGTGGTGGTGCAGGCTCACCTGGCCAAAGGCAATGGAAGCAATGGCTCCAGCTGTGTACCGTCCTACACCGGGCAAGAGCTGCTGCAGGGTCTCTGCTGTACGTGGCATGTGGCCTCCTAGCTCCTCAACCACCTGATTGGGGTGGGAAGGTTCAAGGTTCTGAGATACCTAAGACCCTGAGCTCCCAATGCCTCCCTCCCCTGCTGCCACCTCCCATTACCTTCCGAGCTCCCTCCTGCAGCCGCCGGCCTCGAGAGTAGTAGCCCAGGCCAGCCCACAGCTGGTTCACTTCCTGTGGGTAGGGTCAGAGGTCAAAGAGATCAGTATTCATTCCCATGGTCTTCCCTTTTCCCTATGCCCTTGGGTGTTCTCACCTCCAGGGATGCACTGGCCAGGTCCTGCAGCGTTGGCCATTTCTGCAACCCCAAAGCAGGCAAATAAGAGATGCAGTCAAGGGTACGTGAAGGTGGTGGACAAGACCTTTCGCCCCAAAGTACAGGCTCTCACCTGCAGTCTGGCCCACAACCTCCCTGCCTCCCCCAGAGTCACCTGCATCCATCGGGTATAGTAGTTGATCACCGTGGCGACCTGGGTCTGCTGCAGCATGACCTCTGAGACCCACACTGGGGGAGAGGGGCTGGCATGAGGGCACTGCCGACCTGCCCTGCTCACAGCCCACAGTTCCCAGACCAGTGGGACTCCAGCAGAGCAGCCCTGCTCTCAGGAGACGTACTGACCAGCATATGCTCGCCTGTCTAGGTCCACCTCGGCTTCTGCCTGCCAATGCAACCCAGATGGGGAGTGAATGTGGAAGGGACCAGTGTCAAACTCCCGCCCACCACCCATCCCCTGCCTGCCTACCAGTCTTCTCCAGGGTAGGTCTCGCTTCTCTCGGTCATACCAGCTCAGCAGGCTCCCCCGGAAGGCTGTTACTTCAGCGACGTCTCTGAACTGATGGTACGGGGAGACGGAGGCCTGCAATACCACTGCTTCCTGCTGCCCGGCCAGGCCTACCAGGGCCCAAGGACACTCAGGAATTGTCCCTGCACAGCATGTGCCCCAGGTACCTGGAACACAGCAGCCTGGGGGCAGTGTGCTCTCACTTAGGCTCCCCCCAACCCAACCCCTTGAGCTTTGAACCTGGAGTCAGACCAGCGCTTTCTAGCTTTGGGCAGCCTGGGCCAAGCTTGAGGCCTTAATTGTCTCAGGGTGGTAGTGCTTCCCCTTTTGTCGTGATGAAACCCCAATAATGTCAGCTGGACGTGATGTATACTTGGGGGAGACTCTCCTGTTTACAAACCACTTTCAGGTTCATAAACTCATCTGATCCTGTGAAAGCCATGTGAGGGGAGAAACGCACACACAACTGCTCCATTTTACTGGTAGGCAGCCAGCCCTTCGGAGCAATGATTCCAAAGTCCAAAAGAGACATATCGGACCCTTAATTTGTCTCTTAATGCCTTGAGACATACCATGCTCCCCTCTCAGCCTGAATGTGATCCCTTTCATGGCCAATGAAACCAGCCCCGAGCCTCTGGCAAGGAAGCTGATGCTCACCCTCAGGAGCAGGGTTGGCCTGGCTGCTGCTAAGGGCACGTCTCTTCCTTCCCTTCTGGCTGTCCACCTGCTTCCTGTGACCACTTCCTACAGCTGCTTGTGGCTTTCTCATGATGGTCTGGAACAGAAAGACCCCGTCAGTTTTGGTTCCGACACAGATGAACCTCAGGACCCTGCAGGGTCATTGCCCTGTTCTTCCCAACACCACACACGTAGCCTAGCTGTTCTCAAACATTTTCAAGTTGCTCATGGGTTTGCTCTTGGCTGGTTGTGGCAGTGCGGTATAACCAGCAGCCTCAGGGGGCACTAACATGAGTGCAGCCCTGGCAACATGCCAAGAATAATAAGCCAGGGCTCAGCCAAGGTGGCATACAGGTAGTGCCACAGCTTAAGAGGCTAGAGGCTGCATAGGTGGCCTGGGTTCAATTCCCAAGCCAACCTGAAAATGCTTGGCATGGTTGTGTGGGCTTATAATCGCAGCTAACTGGAAGTACTGGGACACAGCAAGACCCTGTCAAAAATACCTATCTGTGGGCAGGCCCTAAAACTCAGCAGTTAAGGGAGGTGGATCCCACATGGTCAACCATAGTTCAAGTCCCAGTCCCAGTGACTTAAAAAACACACTAGAGGGGGACCACCAGTTAGTGTAATGGCTATGTCGCTGGACTCCTATGTAGCTGACTGTGGTTCGAGTCCTGGACCCAGTGGCTTAAACTCATGCTGGGCGCGTGTGTGTGTGTGCCCAAGATCCCGAGAGGAGAATGGAGGAGAAGGGATTGTGGTGTGGCCATCTCCCCTGGGGGTGATTTCTCGCTTTCTGTCTGTCTCTCTCTGGCAAGCACACGCACCCTGTAGCAAAAACCTCTCCAAAAAAAAGGAAAAGAAAACATACTAGCGGGACCAGCAGATGGCGGAAGGGTTACATTGCTGGGTGCTCACCTAGTCAACCAAGGTTTGAGTACTCGGTCTGGCAGCATAAAACTCACGTTGGGGGCCAGCAGGTGGCGTGGTGGTTATGGGTGCTGGATTCCCACATGGCCAACCACAGTTTGAGTCTCAGACCTGGTGGCTTGCTTTACCTCTTTCTCTCCTGGTCAAATTAAAATAAATAAATAAATAAAGTTAAATAATTCTTAGAAAAAAAAACCCAAAACCAAAAACCGCACGCCAGGCACGTGTGTGTGTGCAGGCCCTAAAGCTCAAAAGGACAACAAAGAAGGGATTGTGGTGTTGACCTCCACCCCCAGTGATTTCTTGCTTTCTGTCTCTGTCTCTCTGGGGAGCACACATACCCTCTAGCAAAAAATCTCTTAAAAAAAAAAAACATACTGGATGTATTCATATGCATGCCCAAAATCCAGAGAAAGGGAGAAGGAACTGTGTGGGGGGGAGGGGGGAACTATACCCAGTTTGGGTGGGAGTATGTTCTTTCTCTGTCTGGAGAGTACATGCACCCTCTGGCAATTCAAAAACAAACACACACAATTCTTCCTTATAAAGGAAACAAACAAAAAAAAGATGAAACAAGAATAAGAAGCCAGGGAAACCAGCAGTTGGCATAATGGCTACGTTGCTGGACTCCCATGTAGTTGATTGTGGTTCGAGTCCAGGACCCAGTGGCTTAGACTCATACTGGGCACGTGTACGTGTGTGCCTAACAACCCCAGAGGAGAATGGAGAAGAAGGGAACGTGGCGTGGTCATTCCCCGGGGGGAGGGGGGGGCAATTTCTTGCTTTCTGTCTGTCTTTTTGGCGAGCGCACACGCCCTATAGCAAACACTTCTCCAAAAAAAAGAAAAAAAAGAATAAGCCCCAGGGCTGGTCAAAGACCAAAGCCTACTGTTTGAAGGCTTCAGTAACTTCACGTTTCCTTGTGTCTCCCTGATACTGTGACTATGTGTGTGCACACGGGTTGTTTAGGTGTGTCTGGGAGCATGCGAGTGGGTGGGAGGCTTCTTTGCCTAAGAGTTACAGCATGAATAGGGCTGGCAGGTGGCATGGTAGTTAAGGTGCTGGACTCCCACATGGCTAACCACAGTTCAAGTGCCAGACCTGGCAGCTTGCTTTCTCACTTTCTCCTCCTCTCACTCTCGGTCTCTTCGGTCAAATTAAAAAAAATAAGTAATAATAACAAGTGAAATTAAATAAAGAAATAATTTTTTAAAAAAGAGACACAGCATTGTTACACTAAAACAGCCTTTAGCAGTCATCTGATCCAAAACCTTCTTTCATTGAAAGAAGCCAAGGAGTAGAGAGCGAAAAAGAATGGCCTAGGAGCAGATGGCAAGTCAGTGGGGGGAAAGAGATGAGCTATTTTTATTCCTAATCTTTTCGGGATCTATTAAGCCACAGCTGGGTGACCGTGAGTATAACATGCAGCTGGTTGGTCACTGCTGTTCCATCAAGTGTTCTGGCTGCATTTTCTCTCCTAGCTAACAGCACCTAACACACGGTGAGCGCTCACTATGTGCCAGACCCCGTGCCACGCTTTAATGTATCTTTCACAGGATCTCCTGATGACTTTGTGACAGAGGTACTAATGAAGCAGGCCAGCTGGAGGTCCCACAGGACTGCAGCCATTCTAAAGTTAAAGTCCTCTAATGAGAACAATCCGACCAAGTGCTGAGTCATGGGGAGGTCTCAGATACAGTCAGAGAAACCAGGAATGGATATCTAGAGGAAAAAAATGGGAATCGTGAGAACTGCTCAGAAGAAAGTGACTGACTTGGGCGGTAGTGAGAAATGGTTTGCAACTGCTTGTATGTGGAACCTATAAATACTGAGCACACATGCTGAGCCGTTTGGGACGGTCTGATGGTGCTTACTGCCTGTCTCCCTGTAACCAGGTGCAGAAATAAACTCCCCTCTGTAGCCTCTGCCTCTCATTTCATTGACTTTGAGAAGCAGCACCCAGCCTCAGTCTGCTGGTGACACTAGCATTACTTTTTTTTTTTTTAGAGGTTTTCGCTATAGGGCGCGTGCACTCGCCAGACAGACAGAAAGCAAGCAATCACCCCCCAGGAGTGATGGCCACGCCACAACCCCTTCTCCTCCATTCTTCCCCTGGGATCTTGGGCACACACATGGACTCGTGCCCGGTGTGAGTTTAAGCTACCAGGTCCGGGACTCAAACTGCGGTTGCCTACGTGGGAGTCCAGCGAGATAGCCATTACGCCAACTGCTGGTCCCAGCATTACTTTCATTTTTGTTAGGAGGAAAATGACACATATAGAGATTAAGCCACTTCTTTCAAATCCAGAGTCTGTACTTTCGTACTCTGCTAAGCCTGTTTCAGACTCTCTCCCCAAACCTTTGACTTCACCACCTCATTTTTTCATCAAAAGAACATGTTTGCTCCTTCAAAGAAAAAAAACCAATGTAGAAAGTAACTCCATTTGCACTATTTACTTTCCCTCTTTACACCGAGGAGTTCCCTCCTCTGTTCCTCTAATCCCTTCCAACGGAGACCAACTGCTTCCCTTCATGGGGACACTTCCTCACCAAACCGGCTTCACCCTCTTACTGCACCACTGCGACTGACCTGCCTACGAACATCCATAAAATTACTCATTGTGTGAGACCAGTAGAAGGCGAAATGGTTATGTTGTTGGACTCCTACCTAGTTGACTATGGTTTGAATCCTGGACTGGGTGACTTAAAACTCACGCCAAATGCGTGTGTGTGTGCCCAAGATCCCAAGACAAGAATGAAGGGATTGAGGAACCAGCAGTTACCCTAATGGCTATGTTGCTGGACTCCCACGTAGTCAACTGTGGGTCGCGTCCCGGACCCGGTAGCTTAAAACTCACGCCAGGCGCATGTGCATGCGTGCCCAAGATCCCAAGAGGAGAATGGAGAAGAAGGGATTGCGGCGTGACCATCCCCCCGGGGGTGATTTCTCGCTGTCTCTATGTCTCTCTGTCTGGTGAGCACACGCGCCCTATAGTGAAAATCAAAAAATAAATAAATAAAAAGGAATGAAGGGATTGCAGTGTGGCCATCCCCCTGGGGGATGATTTCTCACTTTCTGTCTCTCCAGCCGTGCATGCGCCCTATAGCAAAAATCTCTTTTAAAAAATTAATAAAACACACCTAACACTGGGTACATGTGCATGTGTGCCCCAAATCCTGAGAGAATGAAGAAAGGATTGCAGTGTGGCCATCACCTCTGGGGGATGATTTCTTGCTGTCTCTCTGGTGAGTACACTAGCCCTATAACAAAAATCTCCCTAAAAAAAAAAAAAAACTTAGTGTGTATATTTTCTTGTTTGCCTTCATCAGAATACCTCTCCATGAGGGCAGGTATCTTTACTGTCTTATTGACTGAATATGTTAATATCTAAACTGCTTGGCACACAGTAGACACTCTATGGGAATTAATGGAAGGATTAACAGGAAGCTATTGATTTTTTGAGATTTTTTTCCCTATAGGGTGCATGTGCTCACTGGAGAGATAGAGACAGAAAGTGAGAAATCGCCCTCTGGTGGGTTTTGCCCCCTGGGGGGATGGCTACACAGCAATCCTTTCTACTCCATTCTCTCAGGATCTCGGGCACACACACACACACACACACACACGTGCCCGGCGTGACGTACAAGCCTTCAGGTCTGGGACTCGAAGCACGGTTGGCCATGTGGGAGTCCAGTCACATAACCATTATGCAATCTGCTGGTCCCGATATTGATGATTTTAAGTAAGGGAGTGACACAATCATGTCTCAAAAAAGCTGCTTTGCTATGAAGAATGGATTGAATGAATTAAGGAAGTAAACATACCCACACAGGGAGTGGTCACCTCTCAATCCTTCTTCCATCTTTCCCTCCTTTTGGGCACATACATGAACAAGCTCAGTGTTGCTCATGACCCAGGGTTCCTACTGCCCAGTCTGCCGCGTGGGATCCAGCTGCCTTAACCACCATGCCACAGAGGCAGCCCTCCACTGCTCTTGCACCAATTATAATTCCACATTTACTTGTGATTCTTTTGCCAGTGTCCACTTCTCCACTTGCCTCTAAAAAACTACAGTGCAGGGCTGGCGGAAGACATGGTGGTTAAGGTGCTGGACTCTCATATGACCAACCGCAGTTTGAGTCCCGTGGTTGCTTTCTCACTTTCCTGTGCTCTCTGGTCAAAATGAAAAATAATAAGTAAAATAAAAATAAATAATTCCTAAAAAGAAAAAAAAAAAAAAAAAAAACTAAGAGTGCAAGGACTGGGTCTGTTCCCTTGACTGCTGTGTTCCCAGAACCAGTGCCAGGAGAATTGTACACAATAAGCACTTGTTAAATGAATTAATCGGATAGGATACTCAAAAGAAGGTTATCTTGGGATCATCAGCATAATGGCTATGTCCCTGGACTCCCATGTAGTCCACCAGGGTTCGCGTCCCGGATCCAGTGGCTTAAAACTCACACCAGGCGCGTGTGCATGCATGCCCAAGATTCCGAGAGGAGAATGGAGGAGAAGGGATTGCGGCCTGGCCATCCCCCCGGGGGGTGATTTCTCGCTTTCCTGTCTGTCTGGCGAAGATGGAAATGTTGAAGCTGAACCAGAAACTGAATAAGCGAGAAGGTGGGCTGAGGGGACGGGAACGGGAGCCCTTGAGGAGGGGCTGGTCTCTAGTAGGGACACCAGCAGCTCAATCACCATGTAGGTCGGCTCAACTTCCGAAATTCTTCAGGAATTGTCCTTTCCTCTACTCCCTGCTGCCGAAGTCTTCATTCAGGTCCACATTACCACTTGCCTGAATTATCCGTCGCTCTACCCTCTGCAGCCTAGTCCTGTCCCCGCCTCCCGCCGCCCACACTTTCTGGAACGCACTGAGCCCTGCATTCACTCCCGGAATCTGCCGGTGCCGGAGCACCCTTCCTCCCCCGCCCGCCCCTCTCTCCGCCGAACTCCTATAGTGAA